GCAGCTACAGGCAAACGGGCAGCTGAAGATGATGAGGATGATGATGTTGACACCAAGAAGCAGAAGACTGATGAGGATGACTAGACAGCAAAAAAAGGAAAAGTTAAAGGCCTCCGTGACCTATTCACCCTCCACTTCCCGTCTCAGAATCTAAACGTGGTCACCTTCGAGTAGAGACTCCCGCCCACCTGCCTACCCACCCACCTCAGGCAGCGCCACCTGCAGATGACACGCACTCTCCACCACCCAACCAAAACCACAACGTGAATTTGCAACAGGGGAGGAAAAAAGAACCAAAACTTCCAAGGCCCTGCTCTGCTTTTTTTCTTAAAAGTACTTTAAAAAGGAAAATTTGTTTGTATTTTTTATTTACATTTTATATTTTTGTACATATTGTTAGGGGTCAGCCATTTTTAATGATCTTGGGATGACCAAACCAGCCTTTGGAGCATTCTCTGTCCTACTTCTGACTTTACTTGTGGTGTGACCATGTTCATTATAATCTCAAAGGAGAAAAAAAACCTTGTAAAAAAAGCAAAAACAACAACAAAAAAAACAATCTTATTCCGAGCATTCCAGTAACTTTTTGTGTATGTACTTAGCTGTACTATAAGTAGTTGGTTTGTATGAGACGGTTAAAAAGGCCAAAGATAAAAAGGTTTCTTTTTTCCCTTTTTTTGTCTATGAAATTGCTGTTTATTTTCTTTTGGCCTGTTCGATGTATGTGTGAAACAATGTTGTCCACAATAAACAGGAATTTTATTTTGCTGAGTTGTTCTAACAAAAAAAAAAAACACAAACAAACAAACAAAAAAAAAACAGCTGTAGAAAATACCAGAAATGTATTTTTTTCTTTTCATTCAATGCTTAATCCTCTGTGATACAATAACTAAAGAATATAATTTAATTTATACTAAAGATTCCAATCACACTTACCAAGATTGGAACCAAAGATAAATACATCATTAACTCAGAATAGCTACTATTTCCTGAATTATAGTTTGTCATTTTTCATTTCATTATACAATTTAAACTAGAATAAATTACTTTGAATTTAAATTACATTTATTTGTAGTTAGTTATTATACCTCCACATTGATCCAAGAGACTTTTAAACAGACATATTAATTAATAATCATCTTTATAATATATCTTTCAAGGTGAGAGTAAACATTGCTAATACATTTGCTCTAATTTGCAACTATTTGTGGGTGTTACAACTGTCTATATTTCTTGGTATGGAAAATAAAGTTAACAAGAAAAAAAAGTAGTAAGTATTCCTTTAAAACACACACTGATGCTATGTAAGTAAATATGTTTTATTACTCTACAAGAGATTTTAAAATAGAAATAGAAACTTCTTTTGGCATCAAATACTTTTACATTTCATGTAAGGTTTTGACTTCCAGAGTCACTATGTTTATTCGTTTCTCAAGCAACTGGGAGAAGGGCTCATTATGAGATCGCGCCATGTTGCTAGGCACATGGGTTCAGTATTCAGACATTCTGGTTCCTCTAGAGACCTTTCAGTCTCTGGCTTCCCTACTAAATCTTGTCAGTGGCCTTCTGTGCTTCCAAACAGCTGACAAGCACAAAGTGATGAACTCCATTGAAATGACCAGCTCCCTCACTCCCAGGGAAAGGCCTGAGAACAATTCTGTATTCACCCTGTTCAGGCACAAAGGACGAACAAGTGCCCACCCCAAACGTGACCTGCTGCACAAAATGTCTTTTGTTATAAACTTAAGGACTCTTCTGAATCGTCAAACCATCCATTGATAGATTTTCTTTTTCCCACATGCATAATTTATGTCATCTAATTAATTTTCATAAGTTAAACAGCCGTCAATAATAGTTCCTAGCCTTCATAAACGGCAAAAAAATCTTTCCCCAATTCCACTTGAAACCCATTCTTTCTTTCTCCAAAACTATACAGAGCAGAGACTTGAATATGTGTAGCCTTAAGTTGAGGAGCAATCTTAAGAGTCCCTGACCAGACAAAAGCTTCCACACTATGAGCAAGTCTTAGCAGAAGATCCCTTAAGGGGAAATCCTATACCACATGATACATCGCTGACCTTTCTCCTCTGTCCTTGTTACACAGAGAACTGAAACCCTCCTCTGTCTCCATTTAGAAAGTATTTGACAATGACTGATAGTTTTATTTTTTCATAGCTATTGCATTAAAATGGAGTTGCTGTTACATGGAGTATTGAAGCACACAGCATGAGTCTAAAAGGAACAGGAAAAAATTTGCACAAAACCTTCATCTGTCACGCTGCCTTCAGATCCACCATCTCGAATTATGAGCAACTTTTAAGCTCCCAGTACATAACAAGAATAGAGAGCAGTCATGTACTACAACAAACAGAATTATTTGAAATACAAACTTGGACTGTTCCCCCTGGCTCCTGGATTGAAGGGGAAGATTAGATGTGGGACTGCAACAAGAGGCTTTGATTTAGCTTTTCGAGTTACAGGTAGGTCAGAGATGGGATTAAAATCCTCAGCTTGGGATCAGATGAGGGGTGAGCATAAAAATAAAAAGGGTCTCAAGAGTTTAGTAGAAACTCATTCGGTCTTAAATGGTGTGGGGTTATAAAGTACATTGACCCCCACCCCTTCTTTCTAAAGTCACTAAAACCAATTGACACCTCTTAAATGTCTCTTCATTCAGTCCACTTCTATATCCACAGCCACTAACCTGTTGGACCTCCATTGTCTCTTCTCTGAATTCCTTATACCATGGTTAACCAGACAGCTCACCTCCCAGGAGTTGCTCCCATGGACATGCATTGCCAAGTTTGCTTGTTTTGGTGCAATCACTGAATAAACATTTCTTCATTATTATGTGCATATATTTCTTATGAAAATTATGTCTAAAGCCCTATATTGGCACTTCTAGAACTAATATTCACGAACTTAAAATAGTGCTCTTGAGAACATGGCCACATATCCGGTGTGCCACTGTCAATTAAGTGTCAGTAAGACCCAGACAGGTTTGTCTTCTCAGCCTGCTCATCTTTGTACATTGAGAAAAGAGCACAAATTTCCTACGTGGATGTTAGTGTACTTGTTTGTGCTTATTGTAGATTTTGGGTATTATTTTTAAGTAATTATTCAGCACATGTTATTGCTCCTCATATTACATTCCAGCTTAAATGAATGTTTCTATACCAATACAGACAAGTTTATAAATATTAAATGTCCGTTAGTCTTGTTGCTGCCACGTGTGTGCTATTTCAGTGCAGAAGAAGAGAAGAGGAAGGAATGGGGGCTCTGGCTGCTTGTTTGTACACTGAAGAGAAGAGCTGGTTGAGCTCTCAAGACAGAATCCATTTCCACCCCTTCTCTTCCCATAGATGAGTGACTGAACCAGCTGAAGCAGGATTCATGCGGAGCTATCATTGCACACCTCATAGCAGCCTATTACAGTGCCTGGCATATTGTAGGCAGATTAGTTTTCTAATGCTGTAATGAATTACCACAAATTTAGCAACTTACCGCACTACCCATTCATTCTCTCCCAGTTATATAGGTCAGAAGGCCAGGTAGGCTCAACTGGATCTCTGCTTAAAGACTTACACCACCAAAATCAAGGTATCAGCCAGGTTGCCCTGTGATCTGAAGGCTCTGTAGAACACACTTTCAAGTTCATTCAGATTGCTGGTAAGTTTCAGTCTCTTGTGATTATTGGACTGAGGTTCCCATTTCCTTGGTGGCTGGTATTCCTTGCCATGTGAACCCCTCCATCTTCAAGCAAGCAATCCCTTCTCAAATCCCTCTCACACTTAGACTCTCTCTGACTTCCACTTCTGCCACCAGGAGAAAACTCTACTTTTAAAGGGCTCATGTGAATAAGTTAGGCCGACTCAGGAATCTTCCTCATTTAAGGTCAATAGATTCATAGCCTTAATTACATCTTCAAAATATCTGTTTCCACGTAATATAATCACAGGAGTAACACCAAGCACAAAAGTCCTGGGAGCCATGTTAGAATTCTGCCTACCGCAGCAGGGATGGAGTTTATAACTCCTTTTGCTATAGTGTTTCCTAGTGCTATGGACAAATGACAAATCCTCCCTGCTGGCTGAGTCTCAGATGTATGTGACAAGGGCATGCTCTCTGCCTTTTGTTATTAGTACTACTTATCCCCAAGCAAGCATGGCTATGCTGGTGAACGAAAAGAGGCCTCTTGAGATAGGCTGGTCTTTCTGTTCAATTCTCAACATGGTTCTACCTAGGGATCAATTGAACAGCATGGGCCCACTTTTATGTGACTTATTATTATTTTTCAATAAATATACAATTGCCCTCCCTGTCGCTGGATTTTTTTAGCCACAGATTCAAAAATAGAATTTTCAATCCACATTGTGAATCTTGGGATGCAGGGGGCTGACTTTATACACTGTTCTACATCATTTTACATAAGGGTCATGAGCATCTGTAGATTTTGGTATCTACAAGGGGTCCTGGAACCACACCCCCATGGATACCGAGGGACAAGTTTCAGGGGAATCAAAAGTTACATGTGGATTTTCATCTACATGGTGAGTTGGCATCCCTAATCCCCACATTGTTTAAGGGTTAACTATATATACTGTGATTATATTACACAGTTCTGATTCCATTTCTGGCTTCTTGAAATATACACTTGTATATTTATAAGGTTTATAATCCTTCACTCTTCATTCTCCACACATCCCAAACCTCACAGCCTTCCTTAACTCAGTAATAGTCAAGCCCACAACCTAATTTATAAAATATACAGGACATAAAGAAAAAATAACATGATGCCATTAAGATGTAATTAAGAAAAATCCAAATTGATGAACACTTTTAAGAAGGTGACCCAATTTTTTAAATATATAAATTACCAAAAAAAAGAAAAATCAAACATTTAAAACTGAAATCATATCCTGTCTTTTTCACCTTGTCTCCTTTCATATCCTTTCCTAAGCTTCTCATTCAGATGGACTAAAATCTAAACCCCACACCTACAAGGTCTTTGGTAACCTGGATCCTGATAATCTCTTCAAATGCACCCCGTACCACTCTTCCTGATGCTCATGGTCCTCCAGCCACCGTATGGTTTTTCTGTCCTTCAAATATGCCATGCATGTCCCTACCTCAGGGCCTTTGTCCCGGAAGTCCCTCTGCCTGAGAGGCTCTTCTCTAGGTCTTCTGCCCGACTGCCTTTTTCCTGTCATTCTGGTTTTAGGAGGCCTTTCTTGGAACCTTCAAACAAAAGCAGATATCCTGTCCATGCCTCTCACATGACCCTGTTTTATTGCTATCATTTATCACTGATAGTTAGGTAGCTAGTTTATTCATCTACTGTCATTTCATCCACTAAAATGTAAGCTTTATAGAAAGAGGGACTTTTCTATCTTTTTTCAATATTTTATCCTCTGTGCCTAGAACAGCCACTCAACACTATTATTTGAATAAATCATTGAATTAATTTACATAGAATCTAAGATTCTGTTTCAGTTCCACATTGTATAAATCTTGCTTCAATGAGTATGTGACTAGGAAGACTGAGTATAAAAGAGT